AATGAAAGTATTATTTTTGTTAATGTTAATTTATTAATGTTAATGTTTTTGCAGGACTGCTTTGGAGACTTTAATGGCAAATTTATCGATGAATGTAATTCATTTCTCAAGGAATGTCTGTAATTGCACAACGAAAACGCGTGGAGAAGCGCTATTCATGTGTCTAGTATTATGCCGTCGTCATTCTTTAACTATGACTGCAACTATTGATATTTTAAAAATGATTAATTTAATTTTTGATAAAAAATGTATGCTTCCCGATAGTAAGTATAAAGTATCGAAATATTGTGAAATAGAGGATACTTTTAAATATCATTTATATTGCCCTGTTTGTTTAAAATATTTAAAAATGCTAACTAGAATAGAAGCTGGAAAAAAAATATTTGCACGTGTGGTTCAGAAATTGAAGAATCGAGTACTAATGTTTTTATTACTTTGAATTTTCATGCTCAATTGAAAAGTTTGTTAGAGGATACAAACGTTAAAGAAAGTCTAAAGAGCAAATATCGTGGAAGAAATAATGGTTCTCTACAAGATATCTGCGATGGTGCAATGTATAAAAAATTATGTAAACGCAATAAACCTTTGAATAATATGTGGAATTTTTCTTATACTTTCAATACAGATGGTTGTCAAGCTGCTAATTCTAGTAAAGTTAGTATTTGGCCTATTTATGCTACATTAAACGAATTACCTTATAAAATGAGATCAAAATACATGATGTTACTTGGTATATGGGTCAATAAACGTGAATCAAATATGCAAATATTTTTACAACCCTTTGTAAAGGAAGCAAATTTTTTATCTACTTATGGTTTACAGTGGCAATATGATAAAAATACTATAATTACAAGCCGTATTATATCAATATGTTGTTGTGTAGATTCAGTTGCTCGACCAGCCATGTTGAATATGAAACAGTTTAATGGTCATTATGGTTGCACATTTTGTGAACATCCAACCGAATATGTAGAGGGTTATCGAAAGTATCCAGTTTCAACAAATATTTTTCCTAATAGAACTAATGTATCTATAAAGCAAAATATGATTACTGCACATGCAACTTCGATTCCCATAAAAGGTGTGAAAGGACCTTCTCCATTAATGAGTTTAAAATATTTCGATTTGGTTAATGGAATGGTTCCTGATTACATGCATTCAGTATTGTTAGGAGTTACTAAACAATTAACGGAAATGTACTTCTCTTACCCCGGGAAAAAATTTTATGTAGGACAGCCAAATATGTTTGAAACCATTAATAATCGATTGTTGCATATAAGACCACCAAAGAATATAACACGTCAACCGAGAAGTTTACATGAACGGTCATTATGGAAAGCTTCTGAATGGAGATCATGGCTGATGTGGTATTCTTTAGTATGTTTATATGGTATATTACCAAAAAAATATGTAGCACATCTTGCACAGTTAGTCTGTGCAATTCATACCTTTTTTACAAAAATCCATTTCAATCGACATGATACGAAAAGCAAATTTACTGCTAAAAAAATTTGTTATTTTATTTCAACAGTATTTTGGGAAACGTGCAATGACGTACAATGTCCATCTCTTACTACATCTTTCAAGCAGTGTAGAAAATTGGGGACCGTTATGGGCAATAAATACATTTCCGTTTGAAAATGAAAATAGATTATTGGTGCAAATGAAAAAATCTCCTACACATATTGCATTGCAAATTTCACGCAGGTTCCTATTGGAACAATCTCTTATAAAATTGTCTAGAAATGTTAAAATTTGTAACGAAGTGCAAAATTTTTGTAATAATACATACAAAAGGAAATTGAAATTTATTTCTAATACGCAACGTTATACTTTAATTGGTTCCGGGGAAGAATATATACTTAGCCCACAAGAAGCACAATGTTTTCAATATAGAGTAGTAAATTGTAAATCATATACGAAAATGATATATAATAACATTCGTTTTACGACAGAACGTTATACCAAAGCAAAAAAAAACAAACGATTGTGTCGTTGAAATTGAAAATAATTCTTTTGGTATAATTACCAATATTTGCAGCTATAAGCATAATAAAGAAATCAAAATTATAATTTTCATCAAAGAAATAATATTAGATCCTAATCCTTTTATTTTGACAAATGATGTTACGATAACACATATACGAAAGTGCTTGATTAATAAATGTCCTCTACGAGCTATTAATCCTCACTCTTTATTAGGACAATGTATTTTGACAAACATCGATAATATGCACTATATATGTACTATTCCACAAGGTTGTTTCGGTGATTAAATAATATCCAAATAGCACAAATTTCCAAGGGATATTTTAGAACATATAATGTCTTGTGGACATCTTTTGCATATCATTAAAACGCCCTTTGCAAATATGCGCTGTCTAGGTGTACTGTACATATAATCCTTTGACACATTGCGGGTCACTCAGCATGTAAAAAACAGTTTCTTAAACAGGCAACACGTCCACATTTTGTGCATCTATAGTGAAATTATTTCATGCATCTCCGTAAAAATAAAGTTGCGTATTTATATAGACTCCAACTGTTTTGTTTATTTATTAATTGCATGAAATAAATAATCTCCAGTAAAAATGTTAACATATTACATGTTATATATTCTTTGTAATATTATAGAAAACATTAGTAATAAATAAGATTTGTATTTTAAATACAAACACAATTTATAAAATACGATATAAATTTATTTCGAAATATTGGATGTTACAAAACATTCGCATATCCTTTCATGTGCATGTTGAACTTATCCAACTGAGCAAGATGTCCTCTACTATTTTGCAAAATTACAGATAAAATTTTGAGTTATTAATTATTAAAAATGACAATGTTCACAGGTTTCTTTATTTAATAACTTAAACATTTTCATGTTGTTTACAAAATATTTAAGAACTGTTTTGTTCAGAATGACTTAATGTGCAAATATTTGATGACTGTCGTATCTACTAACAGGCTCAAAGTCCAAGATTCAAAGTTCAATATCACTGTATCTGTCGCTAAATACGATAGTTATTTAATATTTGTTAATTTAGTCTTTCTGAACGAAACAGTTCTTTAACCATTTTTTAAATATGCAAATTTTCCACTTATTAATTTCAGAAATCTCTAAACATTGTTATTTTCAATTATTATTAATTTTATAAGTACTTTGCAAAGTGATAGAGAATTTTTTTTCTCAATTTCATGTGTTCTACTCTGTTTCTGTCGCTAATCTACCATCGAATCATGTCAGCAGGTTCTGCCAACAGGACATAAGCTTAATGCGGATGGCTGTTGTTTTGTTGTGGAATGCTAATAACAAATTGTTATCAATCTGGTAGCATATTGCTAACATTTTACTCACTAGTACATATTCATGCAGGAAACTAAAATTAAAATTTTTTTTTAATTTCGAAATGAGTATTGATTATATTTTCGATTTCATTTAACAGGAAATTTATATAATTTCTAAAAAGACGATATTTTACGATTGTTTTTTAGTATTTATTTTAACTATTGCTTCCATTTTACGTAAAAATTAATATGGTAACTTAGTATTTTCTAACATTTGAAATTCATTGAAAATCAGATTTTATAGCAGAAATTACTATGACAAAAAATGTTTGTATTATCCCTACATTTTTCGAAAAAGTGTTGGAAATGACTTTTTCTGAAAAAGTATTGGAAACATAACTAACATTGAGCGGTCTTCATTATTATATAAAAAAAATAAAATCAGAGAAGGCATGTTACATTTTCAAGAAAAGTAGAATTTTATCATAAAAATCATTATTTCTTATAATGTTTGAAATATAATTTCAATTATTACGAAAATCTCTGATTTTTATACAAAATTAAATGATTAAATCAGGTCTATTACATTGAAATAGAATTTCACAATTTTTTGAATATTCAGAATTTTACTGAAAAGAAAAGAAGAAATCGGATTTTGTCACAAAAAATTTCGTACTTTCTATGAAAATTCCGCTTTTTAGATAAAGTCATACATTTTCATTAAAAAATTTTCACCAGGGAGGAGGACTCATTCATCCAATCTATATTAAAATCTCCTATTAATATACATTCTCCTTTAACCATGATTGCTACCTCTTCTAGGAATCTTATGAACTCCCCGTCCGATGCACTTGGTGAGTGATATACTACCATTAATATCCCTTTATATATGTTATTATGTATTTGCACTGCTATACACCAACAATTCGCTATTATTTTTTTTATTAAAACTACGTCGTATTTAATATCGTTTCTCACATACAGTGCAACTCCCCCTGTGTGTCTATTTTCTGCATCGCATCTGACCACGTTGTATCCTTGTATATTAATTTCACTGTCTTCCATCTCCGGTGTCAGTCTAGTTTCCGCCAGTGCCAGAAATGCCGGTTTCGCCTTTTCCAGAACCAGGTGTTGTATTTCATCTTTATGCGCCAATAGGCTTTGAGCATTCGTATATAGAATTGACCCCATTTCTGCCTGTAATTGCTATTTTCCATTCCCCTTCCCCTGCCGATCCTCTTCTTTTCCTCTTCTATAGCTCTTAAGAAAGTTTGGCATTCTCCACTTAACGCATCATGTTCCTCGCTTATTTTCAAGTTGTACGCTTTTATCTTATATATGCAATTTACACATCTTTTCTTTGTTTCCTTGCATTCACTACTCTTGTGTTTTCCTGCACATTGGTGGCATGTGTCCTCACGTGTGCAATTCTTGGCCATATGATAAAATCCCCAGCATTTAAAGCATCTTTTAACACTAAGATAATCCAACACATCATACCTCCTCCACTCTATGTTTACTTTTCCTTCCTCTAGTATTAATTGATGAGTTACTTCATCCACTTCCATTATCATGGAACAACTTTTCCCTTCTCTTTTCTGTTGCACGCTTCCCTTTCTTTCCCTAACTATCTTTTTAATGACTCTCATGTGGAAACTCTCTCTGTCATCATCAATTCTATTCTGTTTTACAATTGCCTCCACCAAGGTGTCTTCACTCAATTCTACTACCTCTTCACTAATATTTATTATTTTAATCTTAGGTTTAATTCTTTTCGGCTGCAGTATCTTATATTCGTCACCCATCTTGTCTTTCACCGTAACCCTCAGTTTTTCCATTTCACCCTCACTGTCACATCCAAGTACAACCGCTCCATTATTATCCTTTTTGAGTTTTGTTATTCCTATTGCCATATTTCTAATGTCTATTTTTTCTTTTATCATTTTCTTTGTAGTTTCACTTTCTTGTTGCTTGCCTGGCTTGACTATTATTACACTTTCCTTCTTCTTTTCCAGCACCGCCTACGCATAGTCCCTCTTCATCCCGTCTGTGAGTCCTCCGACCTTCTCCCGTAGCATTCCTCTCATTTCCTCGATCTCTCCCTTGATATCCTGGAGTTCCTCCTTTACTATTTCCCTGATCATCATCTTGATTTCATTTTTACAAGCCATTGCATCTTTCATTTCTTTCATTGTTTTCCAATCAATTTTCATCCCTATATTAGAATTACTCATTTTTTCTGACACTTTTGATATCGATCCCGTCACTCCTCTAGCTCGCTTACCCTCATTGCAACTCTCTCCCGTTGTTGTTTTCTTCATTTCTTCTATGTCACTCTCAATTTTTATATCCTCATAAGGACCCTCACATTTTACTAGTTCCTTGTGTGCATTATAGACTTTATGTTTAAACAAACAACCGGGATGATAGAAGAGTTTAGTACACTTCTTACACTGTACAGCTATTTTCTTTATTTCGCTCCTGTACGCAAAGCACCTATATTCCGCATAATCAAAGCCAATCATGTCAACATCGGCAACCGACATGCCACATATCCTCACTCTTGCTTATTTACTAATCCTTGCTTTCACCTCTACTACTATATATCTGTAACACGTCCACACTCCTTATCCCAACCAGTTCCCAATTATGAAAAGTCCAGCACAAAATTCGGGTCTAAAATTTTATTCCCCACATCCTCATAACAGCACACTTCAATTCGCCGTCTCTCCCATGCACCCTCTTATCCACCCTCCTATCCACACCCACACCTCCGAAGAAGCTTTGAGAGGGAGAATGAGAGAGGAAAAGATTGTGAGAGAGAGTATGAAAGAGGGAAAGAGTGTGAAAGAGAGAGAAAGAGTATGAGAGAGAGATTATGTGAGAGAGAGAGTATGGGAGAGAGAGAGAGAGAGAGAAAGAGAGTGTGAGACATAGAGAATGTGGGAGAGAGAGTGTGTGTAAGATAGGGAGGGTGTGAGTGAGGAAAAGTGTAAGGGAGAGGAGAGTGTAAGAGAAGAGAGTGTGAGGGAAGGAATGAGAGGGAGAGAGAGTGTGTGTGTGAGAGTGAGTGTTTGAAAGGGGGTATGTGAGTGGGAGAATCAGAGAAAGAGAAAGGCAGAGAGAGAGAGAGAGAGAGGGAGGGGGAGAGAGAGAGAGAGAGAGAGAGAGAGAGAGAAAAAGAGGTGAGGGAGGGAGCAGAGAGGGGGAGGGAGAGAGAAAAGATGAGAGAGAGCATGTGGCAGAGAGGGAGAGTGTATGAGAGGGAGAGACAGCGTGCGAGAGGGGAGTGTGTCAAAGAGAGAGAGAGAGTATTTGAGTGTGTGAAAGGGAGTGAGTGATTGAGAGAGAAAGAGAGAGAGAGAGTGTGTGAGAGAGCAAGTATGAGAAAGAGTTCGTGTGAGAGATAGTGTGTGAGAGAGAGAAAGTATGAGAGAGAGAGAGAGAGAGAGTGAGAGTGTGAGAAAGAGTGTACGACAGAGGAGAGTGTGAGTGAGAGAGTGTGGGAGAGAGAATCTGAAAGAGAGTGTGAGAGAGAGAAGATATGAGAGAAAGATTATGTGAGAAAGTGTGAGAGAGACAGTGTGTAAGAGGGAGGGTGAGTTGGAGAGAGTGTATAAGAGAGGAGAGTGAGAGAGTGAGAGAGAGTGTACGATAGAGGACAGTGTGGGAGAGAGGATAGTGTGGGGGAGAGGAGAGTGTGAGTGAGAGAGTGTGGGAGAAAGAATATGAGAGGGTGAAAGTTTGGATGAGAGAGATTTTATGAGAGAGGGAGAGTGTGAGAAAGAGGAGAGTGTGAGGGGGAGACAGTGAAAGAGAGAGAATGTGACAGAGTGAGTGTAAGAGAGAGTGTGTGTTAGAGAGTGTGAGAGAGATAGAGAGGATATGAGAGAAAGATTGTGCGAGAAAGTGTGAGAGGGGGAGAGAGTGGGAGAGAGTGTAAGAAAGAGGAGAGTGTGAGAGAGGAGAGTGAGAGAGAGAGAGAGAGA